ACCACTTTAGGGGCTGCTGGGGGATGACAAGCCGTCAGGGAGATGCTTTCTGAGACCCAGCACCAAGGTTTCCTGCGTGGGCAAAAAAGCCTGTACCCCAGGGGAGATCCAAGGTAATGGCTGGGATTGGACAAGGAAGATGGCCTGGAGCCAAGAAGTCCCCCAATTTCCTGGGGAGGGGAGCTGTTCATATTAATAATATCTGATAAGATGTTTGCCCATCAAACCCTGCAGACAATGGGAGCTTTGGTATGAATTCAAATTTCAAGAAATAAAGAAATGGCTATTCCTTGCACACCCAGGCCCAATAATACAAGGGCTTGGGAAAGTGAGACACAGAACGTGGGTAAGAAGGATCACTCAGGGGAGAAGATGGGAAGCGTGAGTTCTGTTTTGAACTTGCTGACGAGGGCACACCCTGGGACGTCCAGGGAGAGGTCTGGCAGGTTGGAGGGCTGGGCTTCTTCAATGTGGAGGCCATGGAAGTGGACAGGGTGGCCAGGGAGTCTGAATGCGGCGGGAGGATAAAGCGAGATGCGGAAGCGAGCAAGGGAACGCTTTCCCCTTCCCCAGCCTGGGTCTGTCCCCACAGCCGCTCACAGCCGGCCCGCAGGGGCCCGACGGGAGGCCAGGCGGGGGACGCGCTAGGAGGAAGTCCCGAACAGCGGAGACCGGAGAGCAGGTCTTCCCTGGTTTCCAGAGCTCGCTGAGCAGGGAAAGCGAAGCAGAAACCCAGCCTCGGGTGTCTGCAGCAGCGGAAAACCGAGCGGTTGCAGCCGTGACAGCAGCAGCCCCGGGCGGTGCTGGGCCGCAGACCCCCGCCTCCGAGCTATAGACCCCCGCCTCCGGGCCGCAGACCCCACCTCCGGGCTGCCGCCTACATTCCCAAAGGTGAGCGCGGAAGAGGATGGTGGACGGTCTCTTAGACCCCCAAGAATCCCGGCCGGGGTCTCCGCCAGCCTTCCCCACCCAGCCACCCCCAACCCTTCAGCACCCTCCGCGCCACCTCCGAATCAGACCCCCGCCCGCCGGGCTCCGCCCCGGGACCACTCCCCTCCCCTGGCTCCGGAGGGAGCCCGGTACCGTCTCCCGGGGAGATGGTCTCGATCTCCACGCCCATAGCGGTCCCACAGGCCCCGCCTCCGGGGGGTCCCCGCTGCTGCCCGACCCCGGCTCGGCTCCGGCCCCGGCCCAGCAGTCGCTCCCGCTCGCCTCCCTGCCGCCACTGCAGAGCCGGAGGAGGTGCGGCTGGAGTCGGGACCTGCGCGGGGAGGGGCCACTGGGAAGGGGGCGGCGGGCGGAGCCGCACGGAAAGGTGGGGTCGGCCGGGGCGGGGCCCGGGGGAAGGGACCCCGCCCGGCTGTTTGCTAGCCTAGCCCGGCTGACGACAATAACCCACTGACCGGGGAGCGTGGTGAGCACCCCCTCATCCTCCCTCCATCCGTTCATTAGCCCATCCATCCAATACGCATTTATTTAGCATCGAATCTGTGCTAAGCTCTGGGGAGTTAACCCGGTCCTACAGACTTGTGGGGGGTGGGGGAGAGGAGAGGCAAAGGCAGACAATTAAACCATCACTTTATTTTTATTTTTATTTAGAGGGAGGATCTTGCTCTGTAGCCCAGGCTGGAGTGCAGTGGCGCGATCATTAGCTCACAGCAACCTCGAATTTGACGCTCAAGCGATCCTTCTGCGTCAACCTCCCAAGTAGCTGGGACTACAGGGGCGAGCAACCACGCCCAGCTAATTTTTATTTTTTATTTTTATTATTTGTAGACGCAGGGTCTCGCTGTGTTACTATCTAATGAAACCATCACTTTAAGTAGACGCGCTCAGTGCCCTGCGGCTCAGAGCGTTGCGGAAGCACCGGAGAGGTTCCTACTACCCTCGCTAGGCGTCCTGGATCTGTAGGAGCAGACCTGGGAGAGGGAGGGAGGACATCAGTCCTTGCTGACTCTCCCCCCACACCCCTAAACCCCTGTTCCCCATTTCGCGTAGTTCTGCTCCACGCACATTTATTGGGTACTCAATTTTCAAGGCAAAGAAATGCGCCCTGGGGATACCAATTGTATTAAGACAGGATGGCTGTCTTCCAGGTACTAAGTCTGAGAGGGACGGGGATACACAGTAACCGCATGGAGTGATTAGAACTGCGGAGTGAATGAATGAATATGTAAATTAATTCTACTTGGAGTTCCTCCTCCACCTAAAAAGACATTCAGGAATGTAGAAAAATATTTTCTGGAGGAGGTAACGTTTGTTTGAAGGGTAATTAGGACTTTTAAAAACTCCCACCACCCCCGCATTATTGTCTGCATTGTTCCAAAAATTGAAGTGACGCCGCGCATATCAATTTTTGGAACAATGGCTCACACCTGTAATCTCAACACTGGGAGACCGAGACAGGAGGATTGCTTGAGCCCAGGAGTTCGAGACCAGTCTGGGCAACATAGAGAGATCCCGCCTCTATTTTTTTTTTTTTTTTTTTTGAGACAGAATCTCACTCTGTCGCCAGGCTGGAGTGCAGTGGCACAGTCTCGGCTCACTGCAACCTCTGCCTCTCGTCTCGTGTCTCAGCCTCCCAAGTAGCTGGAATTACAGGCATGAGCCACCATATCTGGCTAATTGTTGTATTTTTAGTAGAGACAGGGTTTCACCATGTTGGCCAGGCTGGTCTTGAACTCCTGAACTCAGGTTATCCACCCGCCTCAGCCTCCCAAAGCCCTGGGATTATAGGCATGCCGTCTTTATTTTTTAAAAAAGAAAAGAAAAGAAAAACATAAACAAAATCTGATGTGAAGGTATGATTTTGCTAAGTGGTACTGGAAGATAGGCATGGGGAGAAAAGCCTGGCAAATGGGCCCAGCATGAGCCCCAAGGTTGTTCTTCCTTCATTTCCCCACCCCCACTCTCCTGTATGTTTAGGTCCCAGATGAGGTTGTCTGCATCCCTGAAGGAGGACAGGCTGTGTTGTTCAAGAAAGATGATGGTTAATTGTACTGTGAAGGTCAGGACCCGGAATTTCTCATGAGCTGCTCCAAGATGTGGCCCAGAGTCTTCCAAGCGTGCAGCTGGTCTACCGAAGCCTCAGGAATGCACTAAGCCTAAGGGATACACCAGAGCAGGCACGCTTAGGGTCGGTGTAGGACAGGGATTTGTGGCTGGGACAGGCCCATGAAGCAGCTTCAGTTAAATGCACAATATTTTATGTACAGATAAGAACATTTTCCTGGAGAGATTTTATCGGAGTTTAAAGAAGGTTAAGAAACCGTATTGATCCTAGGGCTCCTGAACTCCTTAGACAAGAGAACCGAAGAGAAATGGGGAAACGAGCTCTAGTGCTTTAGGGAGGAAAACTGTGGCGGGCTTGCGGTCGGTGCTTTTATAGAAACTACGACTCCCAGCGATCCGTGCGGCAGAGCCAGAGCTTATTGGCCAGTGCACATTCAAAAGCCAATCGACGGGGCCATCGCGGAGCGTGCTCGGCCACCGCTCACCTATCGGAGGGCTGAGGGCCGGTGCTTCCGGTGGCTGCCCAGAGCCTCTGATCTCCTGCGGCGTGATGTTGGGCTGCTTCAGGGAAACTGGTGTTTTTGTGAGGCGGTGAGGCCTAAGGTATTCTGTCTCCACTGCTGCCGGGCCTGGCGGATGTGGGGAGGCTGTAGGGGCTCAGGAGGAAAGTGGACCGGGCGCGGGGCGTGGGGAGGGATGGGGGATGGGGATGGGGGATGGGGGCCGGGAGGGAGGGAGGAGATTCAGGAGTGCAGAGGGCATGAGGAGAATGGGGCGGGCCGCGTGTGAGGGGTCGCGGGATGAGGACCCAGCTAGCTGGGTGTGGGTGTAAACGAGCGAATATGACTGTGACTCGTGAATATCCTGGGAATGTGTTCCAGGGAGGTCATCCAGTCAGGAAATGCTTTAAGCATTAAGACCTCGGTCACAGCGTTATTTGTAGCGGAGTAAAGTTGGGTACAGCCAGGAGCTGTTCAGTACGTTATGTCACTTCACTGAGTGTATGTGAAGTGGCCTCTAAAACTACTTTATAAAACTTTTAAATAACATGGGGAAATGCTCATTATATAATGTTAAGTGAAAACCGTGATACAAAGTTGCACAGCATGACGGAAAAAAGTTTTGACAGCCAAACTATGCGTAGAAGAGTCTAGAGGGATGTAGTCGTAATTTTCCTTGCATGAATGTTTTTCGTTAACTCTTCTTCATTTTTACCTTTCTTATGTGTGATTTTTTTTTTCACATAACGGTAAAGAATTTGAAATCATTTTATAGTGGAAACACAATAAACTTGGAAAACAAGTTGGGAAAGGGATGTACTTTTGCTTAAACCTTTTGGAAATGCTCGAGTTCATCTGAATCCCTTCTTATCATGAGTTGTCTTTAAAGATGAAAAGCAGAATTAAATGGTCATATACTGAGCACCAGCTCTTGATTTTCTGCCACCCCTCTCCTGAACTAATATGGTGGTCTTTTCCCTCCTGAAACACGCAGGGTTCTTGATTTTATGTTCTCCAGAAAACTTAACACTTTGGAGATTGTGAAACAATAGGTATACAATTAGTTTCGGGCAAAATCAGTAGCGTTGGGGAATGCCTGAAGATCATTTAAACCTTGGTCCTCCTGGCTCTCTTGTCTTTTACAGTGAGGTTCTCTACTGCCTTGACTTTAATTATTAACCCTGTGTCAGTGATTTCCAAATCTTTACCTCTGCCTGCCTAATGTACATTGGTACCATGTAGACATTTTGCATGAAGCACATGTTAATACCAAATACATCACATACTACACACCTTCCTCCTCCCCTACTGCACCCACCTCACACAGGTCTCACTCTGTCACCCAGGCTGGAGTGCAGTGGTATGATCATAGCTTACTGTAACCTGGAACTCCTGAGCTCAAGTGATCCCCTTAGCCTCCTGATTAACTAGGATTACATGTGTGTGATGCTGCACCCAGCTGATTTTTATTTTCTTTTCTTCTTTTCCTTTTTTATGGAACACTTCACAAATTTGCAACTCATCCTTGTGCAAAGGCCATGCTACTTTGTGTATCATTCCAGTTTTAGTATATGGGCTGCCAAAGCGAGCACCCAGCTCATTTAAAAAAATTTTTTTCTGGGCCTGGCGCGGTGGTTCACGCCTGTAATCCCAGCACTTTGGGAGGCCGAGGCAGGTGGATCACGAGGTCAAGAGATCGAGACCATCCTGGTCAACACGGTGAAACCCCGTCTCTACTAAAAATACAAAAAATTAGCTGGGCATGGTGGCGCGTGCCTGTAATCCCAGCTACTCAGGAGGCTGAGGCAGGAGAATTGCCTGAACCCAGGAGGCGGAGGTTGTGGTGAGCCGAGATTGCGCCATTGCACTCCAGCCTGGGTAACAAGAGCGAAACTCTGTCTCAAAAAAAAAAAAAAAAAGAAAAGAAATTCTTCTTTAGAAAGACAGAAAAAAGAAAAAAAGAAAAAAAAAGAAAAACAGAAAAGGAAAAAGAAGAAAGGTTTTTTTTTAAATAATAAAAAAAAAAATTCTTCTGTGGAGTTGGGGTCTCCCTGTGTTGCTAAAGCGGGTCTTGAATTCCTGGCCTCAAGCAATCCTCCCACCTTGGCCTCCCAAAGTGCTGAGATTACAGATGTTAGCCATGATGCTCTGTCTGCCTTTCTTCCCTTCCTCCCTTCCTCCCTCCCTCCCTTCCTTCCTTCCATCTCTCTCTCTTTTTCTTTTCTTTTCTTTTTTTCTTTTTCTTTTTTTTTTTTTTTGAGACAGAATCTTGCTCTGTCACCGAGGTGCAGTGGTGCAATCTCGGCTTATTGCAACTTCCCCCTCCTGGGTTCAAGCGATTCTCCTGCTGCAGCCTCCCAAGTAGCTGGAACTACAGGTGCATGCCACCACGCCCAGCTAATTTTGTATTTCTAGTAGACACAGGGTTTCACCATGTTGGCCAGCCTAGTCTCGAACTGGTAACCTCAGGTGTCTGCCTGCCTCAGCCTCCCAAAAGTGCTGGGATTATAGGCATGAGCCACTACACCAAGCCTGCTCTGCCTTTCTTGCCTTTGAAACATCCTCTGGTTAATGGTTTAGCAATTTCTCAAGCTTAAAATGTGGGTATTATCCTTAATTCTTTTTTATTCCTCACTACTTATATCCTATCTGTTATCACTGTCTATTCCCTCTGCTTTAGAAACACATCTCTTGAATCTGGCCTTTTTTCTCTACTGAAATAGTTACAAACTTGCTTCACTTTCACTTTGTGGCATTCAAATTACTCATCAACTTTCTTCTTTCTCAGGTCCGTTGTGCATATTGTCATTCGAATATATGCTGGTTCCCCCCAGATTCCAAATTCTTCACCATGCCCTTTATGATTAGAGAAAAGTTAGAAAGATATATCAGTATCTGATAATGTAAGGCCTTAACTGCCTTGTTAAGACATTTTGAGGCTTTTTTATATGTACTGTAGATGTGGGGATTCATCAAAGGTATTTATGCAGTAAGGCAAAATGACCAGAGCTATGCTTTTTTTAAAAAGATAATTCTACACAACAGCACGTAGTATGCAAGCTCATTTGGAAAGCAGAGACTGGTATCAAGGGGACTTCTTGTTCTACCATAATAAAAAGGGAGAAGCCAGAACCTGGGCTAACAGGAGTAGAAAGGAATGGAGCAGACTTTTGTAATCATTGGGTTTTTTGAGAAAAATGTGCCACATTTCTTCTTGTTAATGAAGATGACAGTATTAAAATTCATTCTTCTAAAAACCTCAGTAAACTGGCCCAGCATGGTGGCTTAATCCCACCACTTTGGAAGGCCAAGGCAGGAGGATCACTTGAGGTCAGGCTTTCAATACCAGCCTGGCCAACATAGTAAAATCTCGTCTTTACTAAAAATACGTAAGTTAGCTGGGCGTGGTGGCGGGTGCCTATTCCAGCTACTCGGGAAGCTAAGGCACGAGAATCCCCTCAACCCAGGAAGTGGAGATTACAGCCTAGATCACACCACTGCACTCCAGTCTGGGTAATGGAGCATGACTGTCCCCCTCCCAAAAAATAACCTCAGTAAACTTATTCTCATGTTTGTTTTTCTCTTATTCTCTTTTTTTTTTAATTTTTTTATTTTGAGACGGAGTTTCGCTCTTGTTACCCAGGCTGGAGTGCAATGGCGCGATCTCGGCTCACTGCAACCTCCGCCTCCTGGGTTCAGGCAATTCTCCTGCCTCAGCCTCCTGTGTTTTTCTCTTATTCTCAAATCCTTATCTTGTGCTACTCTGGTCACATACACCCTCATTGACATTAGACTGAATTTAGTATCCTAAAATAGATAAATCGACTTAGATGTAATTGGCCCATTAGGAATTTTCTCTGCCCATAAAAGTGTATCATGCATTATTTATCAATAAAAGTCTTTTTAAAGTACATAAGTAGATATTGGGGGAAAACATCTATTATCTTTCATAAGACCAGTGGGATAGAGATCATGGTTTTCTTCATTAGTAATAACAGGGGACTTCTTTCTCCATTTAGCAAGCCACTGCAGAACCACTTAATCTGACATCATATATAGAAAAGCATAATAGACCTTTTATTTTCTTTAAGTAAAAGATCCTAAGAGCAAGGACAAAGCAAGGAGACATGAGAAATAATTTACAGATAAACAAACCACCAGGTTGGTAGAGAATACATTTCTTTGGATTTAGAGTCTGAAGACAACTTCTCAAGTTCTTTCTCTGACACTGAGTAAAACAAAGCTGAAAAATGTCATTTAGATTCAGCAACAGGGATGACACCAGTAGCCTGGTAAGAGATGTTTTGGAGAAGAGATTGGAATGGAGTTTGTTTGAAGTATATTAAAAAGAGAACAAGTGGTGAAAATGAGTCCTGGTAGTTTACACAATTCTTTGATAACTAGTAAACATCACTTTATATATGTTTGTAGATTGTTGTTTTGTTTTTAAGCGGAGACAACGTCTTGCTGTGTTTCCCAGGCTGTTCTCTGGTCTCGAACTCCTGGGCTCAAGTAATCCTTCTGCCTTGGCCTCCTAAAGTGTTGAGGTTACAGGCATGAGTCACTGTGTCTAGCCAATAGTTGTTTTGTTTAGTTTTGTTTTTGAGACAGTCTCACTCTGTTGCCATGCTGGAGTGCAGTGGTGCCATCTCGGCTCACTGCAACATCCGCCTCCTGGGTTCAAGCAATTCTTGTGTCTCAGCCTCCTTAGTAGCTGGGATTACAGGAGTGTGCCGTCACTCCTGGCTAATTTTTGTATTTTTAGTAGAAACAAGGTTTTGCCTTGTTGGCCAGGCTGGCTTCAAACTCCTGGCCTCAGGTGATCCATGTGCTGTGGCTTCCCAAAGTGCTGAGATTAAAGGCATGAGCTACTGCATCTGGTCCAGCAATTGTTTTTATACTAAAATTAGTCTTTCTCAGTCTGTGTTTATTATTGCAACATTTTGTTCCTTTTTTTTTTTTGAGTCAGTATTGCTCTGTCACCAGGTTGGAGTGCAGTGGCATGATCTCGGCTCACCATAACCTCCACCTCCCAGGTTCGAAAGATTCTCCTGCCTCAGCCTCCCCAGTAGCTGGGACTACAGGCACATGCCACCATACCCAGCTAATTTTTGTATTTTTAGTAGAGATGGGGTTTCACCATGTTGGCCAGGATGGTCTCGAACTCTTGACCTGTGATCCACCCGCCTCGGCCTCCCAAAGTGCTGGGATTACAGGCGTGAGCCACTGCACCCAGCCAACAGTTTTGCTTTAGACACTTCGGGTTTGTTTGTGTTTTACTGCAGTGAGCATATACTTTTGTTTGTTTTCTGAGACCGTGTTTTGCTGTGTTGCTCAGGCTGGGGTGCAGTGGTATCATCTCGGTTCACTGCAGCCTCCACCTTCCAGGTTTAAGGGATCCTGTCTCAGCCTTCCCAGTAGCTGGGATTACAGGTGTGCACCACCATGGCTAATTTTTGTATTTTTAGTAGAGATGGGGTTTCATCATGTTGGCCAGGCTGGTTTTGAACTCCTGGCCTCAAGTGGTCCACCCACCTTAGCCTCCAAAAGTGCTTGCATTACAAGCGTCAGCCACCATACCCGGCCTAAGCATATACTTCTTTAGTGATTCAAGTGCCTGGGGAAAAAACATTCAGGGTGAAAAAATGAAGATAATACCTGCCTAACCTACTTCACCTTTTTGTAAGATTGTTGTAAGATAAAATGCAATAGGGAATGTGAAAATGTTCTGAAAATTAAGTGCTGTTGAATATGATGAAGTTGAAGTAGAAACAGTGATTTTTGAGTGTCATTTCAGTAGAGAGATAAAAGCCACTTTGGAAGGATTTGAAATAAGTGCTAATAAAGTCAGAGATGTACATATCAGTTATTCATTGATTTGAGAGTAAAAGGATGAATAGAAATTAGATGATGGAGGAGACTTTTCTCAAATTTTTAATTGGAAAATTTTCTAACTTAAAAGATGAAAGTACCATAAATACTCACATAGCCACAATCTAGATTCAACAATTATTAACATTTTGCTGCATTTGTTTTCTCTCTGTGTGTGTCAATAGAAAATCTGGATTTTTCTTTTTGGCAAACCATTTGAAAGCACGTTGTAGGCATCATGACATTTTACCCCAAGTAGTAAATTTGGGGTAAATTTAATCGTTCTGTATAATCACAATACCATGTTCACACTTAAGAAAATTAATAACTCCACGATGTTTTCTGATATCCATTCCATACTCAGATTGCCCCAGTTCTAAAAATCTTCATTTGGTAGATTTTATTTCTTTAATTCAAGATCCAAAGTCTATACAATGCATTTGCCTGTTATAGCTCAGTAGTCTCTGTCATTTTGTTTCTCCACATTATTAACCTGGAAAGGGTCTAAGCCAGTTGTCTTATAAAATGTTCTACATTCGAGATTTGTCTAGATTTCTCATGATGTAACTTTCCTTCTTAATCATTTCAGGTAACCTTTATCAGAAGGATGGAGTTGGGAAAAGGAAGACTACTCAGGACTGGGCTGAATGCGTTGCATCAAGCAGTGCACCCGATCCATGGCCTTGCCTGGACTGATGGGAATCAAGTTGTCCTAACTGAT